GAAAAATATTAAAAGATAAAAATCTCATATGCTTAATTTTCTGTTTAAATTAATTAATTGTTAAAAGAAATTGTTCATCCTCTCGAATTGATCTTATAATAAATATACTCTCCTTCCGGAGGTACATAAGAAAATGTCCTTCTTTCTTGTGGAGCGGGCCGAACGCCTAGGCAGGATAGATGCATCTATGGATCACGCCGCACGTCCCTCGGCAGTATACACGACACTCTGGATCGGGCCGTACGACCTCAGTAGAAATCGTGCATGATAATAATAATTACACGATACCTTGATATCTTAATTGCAGCTTGTGAATTTAATTAATAGATTGGAAATTATTGCATTTGAAGAATTTTTATTATTTCTGCTTATTGAATAAAAAATATTGTTAACTCTATGAATCATGCTGATTTAAATAATTCTATTTTATTATATTTATTATTGTTGACCTTAGTGAGTGTCAAAGTTGACCATGTCGTCTCTACCTCTTCGAGATTAGGCTTGATACTTTTTGGGTAAACGTTGTTTACGTACTCATGCTACACTTGCTGCACTTTTTGTGAAGGATCTGAGACATGCACTAGTGGAGGACCTATCATCGCACTTCTTGTATTTGCATTATGTATAATTTATTTGAGACAGTAGTTGGAGTTTTGTATAATCTACTAGATGCTTATACACTTGTGACATCACGTCTTGGCACACACACTAGTAGAATATTTGGATTTAAATTTTGTTCTTGGTTGTTTTAATTTACTAAATTTCTGCAAGTAAGAAGAGTTTAATTATTCGGTTAATTTTAAAAGAATTGAATATGAGTTTAAATTACTAGTTGGCTTACCTAGCTGTAGTGTTGGACGTCATCACGACCTATAGGTGAATTTGGATCCCGACAACAAACTTATGACAGATATATGTTCAACTCTCATGATTTACAAAAATAACTGTAGGATCAATTAATGGTATGTAGTATATCTTCGTCAGACCATTTTACAGTTGTAGATTTATTGTAATTGTATTAAAGCTCAAGAAGGTGGCTACAAGCGGACTTAAATTTAGGAATGTATTATATAATCCTTAAGAAGACCACAATATAACATAATGAAATATTTAATTAAAAGTGAATTGATTAGCAAGCTATTACATTTCAAATTAGTGCAGAAATCAAAGTAACATTAAAGCATTGTCCATATTATCGTGAAAACGTAATAGTAAAAAAGAAACCTTTTGTTATGATTGACAAAAAAATCATTTATAAATGTGTTTTATGAAAGAAAATACAATATAACTTAAAAACTCATAATAAATTGAGTATTTTTGTAAAGTATATCTTTTAAAATATTAAAGAATAATATAATTTATTAAATTATTTTTTTGTTTAATCAAGCCAAAATTACTTCTAAAAAGTCCCTATTTAAATTAGAACTGATGATAGAAACACATGGAAAACTAAAACATGATATCTTGGGAAATTGGTTGAAAGAATAAATTTAATTTTAATTTTAATATGAATTCCATATTTTCACTCATTTTAGGATAGCATTGACATAGTCATTTCAGAATCTATCAATTGCAAGTAATTCAGTTTTAGTCATAAACATTTGCTTCCAAAAATCACAACATCTGGGTGCATGGTTAGGCGCTTGGTTAGATAAAGAAAGCTCTTTCCAAAACGAAGAAATTAAATAGTAGATTATTCAAAATGTAGAGGCTTACTTTGGATTTTCTAATTGTTGGAGGCAATTCCTACAGTATTTTATAGATTAAATAAATACGCAATTTGCTTTTGCTCACCCGAAAAAATAAAAAATAAAAAATAAAAAGTTTCTCTCAGTCAGCTGACTAGGGGTGTTATGGTTCGGTTTTTCCCTTAAAAAAAACCAAACCAAGTAAGTCGCCTTTTTAAATATTAGAACAAAACCAAACCAATTAAGTCGATTTTTTATTGATTTGGTTTTTGTCGGTTTTTCGGATTTTTCGTTTTTTTGTCGGTTTTTTCTTAAATATGAGACATACACTACCAAACGCATATTCCGGCGAGTACATTTTCAAACCAGTTGCTCTTTGAGAAATCTATCATTTACCAAGATATATTGATGATAATTGACTCAAATAGTGATAAATAACTTAAGTACTCAATTAAAAATTAATTATTTTTAACATGAAATAAATTCTTATACTTAATAAAAGAAAGCTACCAATCAAACTAGTAGGCAAAGAATTAGATAATTATAATAGTAAGGGTCATACATATGTCATTTATAAGGGTAATATTGTCTGCCTCACAGTTCAAGGGTAATATTGTCTTTTCATCTAATTTTTTTTTTAACTTCGCTGGGATTATATCGACCAGTTTGGGAAACCCGGCAATCACCGCTCTCTACGAGCTCTTCTTTGGCTTCTGTCTTCTCACTCTTCTTGTTCTTATCGGAACCAAGGCAGACAGCTCTTTGGCAGATGCAGGTTGCTAGGTTCTCTTTTTTCCAAAGGTTAACACCCAGTTGTCTGTATCAGCAATATCAGAAAAGCTCCACGCTCTGTCAGTTTCCCAGTTTCAAAACCCTTTATACCAACAATCTGTTTGAGGTAAGTTTGCCCATTTCAGGATTTCTAGGGTGACTCATATTTTGGTAGGACAACACGTGCAGTCCATTCTTAACACTTTCTGAAAAGTAACATCTCCCTCTAAAACGTCTGTTCTCTCTCTAGATTTTACAGGTCCTCTTTGTTCTCAATTTTACGGTTTATAGATTTTACAGTTTCTTCAGGTGAGCGTTCTCTTACCACTGTTTTCTTTTAATTTAGTTTGCATTATTTGGGCCCCTTTGATTCTGATTTCCTTTATCACATATTTCCAATACTACGGAGTATTATCTTTTGCAATTTTCTATTATTTGAATTTTGTGTTCCCATTGCTGCTTTCTGTTGCTCTGTAAGTGTTTGAGAAAATTCTTCAATGAATTAGGATTTCCATAAGATTTTCTTATTATCTTTGGGTTTAATTTGTTGCTTCACTTGGGAAGAGAACAGGCTGGTTGGACCTGCTTTGGATTTCTATATGAAAAGAAAATACACGGACGAACTATGCCCTCTCTTTAACTTGGGGTGTTTAAAAAATAACGAAAAACTTTTGATACTTGTAATCATTAACCGGTCATAACATTCGTGTCGTGAAAAAACTTCTAAAATTTATGATCTTTAATATGACAAGGCTATGAAAGCTTCCATTAGGGGTTAAGTGTAAAGTAGAGTCTCTGCAAGTTGGATATTGATAGATAGATAGATAATTCACCCCTGATAAAAAATTGGTAACTTACGCAAAAAGCTACAATCAAGTTGATAAACTAAATACACTGGATTAAAAAAAAAGGGAGTCTTTGTGTAAAATTAAGCAAAGTGAGACGGTATAAACAAGTTGCAGATATCTATTGCAAAAATAAAAATACAGCAAACTATTTAGCCAATTCTGAAATATGTAATAAGAATAGATCTATATAAGTTTATGATATCTCAAAGTAAACTTCACTAATAAGTTATCACCATAGCATGACCAGTATGATAGAGAGTTAGTAGCTGTTATTGGCAAGGTTTCTTCAAAACATTCTGTTAAGAACAATGGGAATTATGATAAAAACTTATGTAGAGATTCTGATCTTTACCTGTGTAAGATGTTCCTTGCATTAGAACTTAGTATGAATGATGTGCTAAGTAAATATTTGAACAGACATGTTTTATCACTTTATTTCTAGCGTTTATCACTCCTACCTAATGGCGGACCCACATATAGAAGAGTGGCTCCTGAAGCACCCATCAAACTGCTAATGAGTATATATAATTGAATTGATATTTTAATACAATATGATATAAATCGTTCATTAAGCACCCATAGCATTGGATAGTCTTCTGGTGCATGGGGTTAAGAGGATTCACAAAGGTGCTAAAACACTTCGCCGGAGAATGGTTTAGAAGTAATCTATTCATTTGGAACTTATTTATTTATGTCCATGCACTGACTGATGTACAATTATTCAGAAGATTCATATTTAGCTAGAGTAATACAAGAAAATGATGAATTTATCTTTAAATGTAAAATGACAACCACTTTTTAAGAAGTATGGTTCTTCTTTCTTTTCACAGGTTACGGGTTGCGGCTAAGACAGACCCACACAGAGAAGGGTGATTGCTCGAGCACCCATTGACTTGAAATTCTAGGTCCGCCACTGGTCCGAATCTTGAATCTTTTTGTGCTGATTTTTTCTTCCACTGGAAACATGAGGTAACTCCCGAAGTTTGAATTCAATTCAATCATAGAACAAAATAGTGCTCCATTATAGCACCTATTCCTACTCTCTTAGCTTTCTTTTAATTGTCTCTTGCAAAATCCTGCAACTTGAGTCAATGAGCATCGTATATTAGTTCTCTGGTTCCTAATTTTTTCTTCTTTTATACTTTATTATCTTTCAAAGAAAAGCTTTGTGAAAAAATGCACGTCTTTAAACTGTAAAGTTATCTATTTGTTGTTTTACATGATCATCTGATACTTGGGTCGCACAAATGAATGGTAGAAATTAAACAATTTATCAGCTATAAAAAATTTATCAGGAATTCGCAGATATATGACCAATTTGTAAGTCCTTTTATTTCTCCCAGTGATTTTTTCCTTCCTGAGTGAGAACTATACAATTTATGATAAAATTGTATGCATAGAAACACGATTATTTACATCTGTTGCTAATGCTATTCAATATTGATAATTCTCTGTATTGCTTGGCTAATGTGTTGAGTCCATTTTCATCAGATGGGGAGTGACTGTTTCGTTTATCTTATCGATCTAAGATTTCTCAAAGTTCTCTATCTCCAAACAGTTCTCCTCTTGCTCCTTTGTTCCTAATATTGCTACTGGAGTTCTCTCTGGATTATTATTTTCTGGTGGATATTCTTCTTTTTATTATTTGTTTCTTCTATCATCTGTTTTATCTTCGATGACATGTTAGAAATTTGTGTTTTCTTATGAGGTCTTCGGGCTTTTGGGCACACAAACTTTAACATGCCAAGAGATTTTGTAACGTAGGTGTTTGAGAAATTTATTCGAAGTAGGCTTTCTATTATATTTCTTTTTCATCTCACTGCTTTCTCTATTCTCAGGTATTATTTTATGGTTCCATTTTGGCAAAGATTATGTTGTAAAAACTAGCTTTGAGCATTACATAGAGACTGAAGTATTACTTTCTCTCAATGCCAAAACGCGTTAAATCTCCATCCGCCAAGTTTTTTATCTTTGTGTTCTTCAGTTGTTGCTTCGATTTTCTGTGCCTATCGATATTTGATTTTCTTTCACCGTTCATTAATGATTTAAGGTGAGCTTTTTGCTTGTTCTTTTTGTTTCTTTTCTCCAGTTATTTTTGTTTTTCTTATGATTCTAGATGCGTCTTTGTCTCTACTGATAAAATTTGACAATAGTAATTTTTCGAAGCTCTTCAAAATATGGAGGTACACTATAAGAGAGAAACAAAGAGAAGTTTTCTTTTTTACATACAAAAGAAGTTACTGAAACAGTTTGGATCCATGCTTGTGGAAACTGGGAATCTAATGTGACCTCTTTGTCACACAGGGTAATTCAACAGTTTCATTTCTTTTGGATGAATCGCTGATCTTTATTTTGGTTAGCTTGACTGCAGGCAGAGAGACTCTTTACCGGAAATACTGTAAAATAAAATTGTATATTTAGGTATCCCATGTAATTAGTTAGACTTCTAATTTTTTCTTAATATGAATCACATAATATTTAGGAGGCGCTTCATTATTGTTCAGGGCTCCTCAAATAAGGCCTGCCAATTAATGTTTACACTGTTTGTAAACTTCTAAATTTCCTTTAAATATTTTCTCTTCATTTGATACGTCTGACTTTGACAGTTAATACCATGCTTTACTTATTAGGAGATTGGTTACTGTTGTGATATTTTCGCTTGGCTTGGAAATTTGTATTTAATTTTAATATGCCCAGTAGCTTTTAGTTGAGTTTGAAGTATTCACCAAGATGACAAAAGGAACAAAACAAATATGCATTTGAAGAGGTGCTGAAATCCACCCAGGTAAACTTGTTTTATGTGTCTTAAAAGCCTGTATGTGTTACCAAGCTCTTCTTTTTATCAGTTTGAGATTGTGTATGTTGTTGCCAAATTTTTGTTTGACCACTTTTGGGTGAGTTCAATTTATACTGTATTATTTTTATTTTTCCCCTTCTGCTTCAAACTATTTGGTCCTGAAGAAATTTGCGGTGGTCATTTTTTATCTATATTTCGGGTTTATCGTTTGCACTACAGAGGTAATGATGGAACTACTGAAAGAGGTTGTGACAGTAGTTGCCAAAGGAGTTGACGAAGGTGAGACTTGCTGGTCACCACGCGCTGACCCGCCATCGATGGTCATTTTGCTAACTGGAAAGTTATTTTGGATAATAACATTGTTTTTATTTGGCAGTTAGTGTTGAATTGAGCAAGGGAGAGATGGAGTAGTCCAACCGGTTCAAACAACTGCTAGAATGTACCAAAACATCATTTTATACATCTCTAAAGACTTTTCAAGGCATGTGATGATAACTTATGATAAGGTAGTTGTTATGGTGCAATTGATTGTCTTTATTCAGAGACAGTGAATTATTCTGTTAAATTCTCTTATGATGAAGGTTTGTCAGTTGTGACTTCCTTATCCTATTGCATTTTATGTCATTACTCAAGGTAATTTGCCTCTTCGTACTGTTGAAGATGGGGAATTACACTGGTAAAATATTATAAACCAGCAGATGCAACCAATTATACACCTATTTCATGTTTGGATATGCAATTACATGTGGAGATGACATAATAGTTACTGGCTTGAAGATAATATATTGGTAAGCTGTAACGACCTGGCCGGTCGTTTGAGTATTACAACCCCGCTTCCCCCTTTACTGCTCGAATTGTACTTTACAATTGTGTAAATTGCCGGGGTAATTGGTCGGGTCCAGTGAGGTTTTTGAAGGAATTGGAACACATAGTTCCAAGGTTTAAAACTTTAAGTTAAAATAGTGACCAGATGCGGACTTAGGTGTAAACGACCTCAGATTCGAATTTTGATGATTCCAATAGCCTTGTATGGTGATTTTGAACTTAGGAGCGTGCCCGGAAAATTATTTGGAGGTCCGTAGTGAAATTTGGCTTGAATTGCCGAAAGTTAGAATTTTTGGGAAGTTTGACCGGGGGTTGAATTTTTGATATCGGGGTCGGAATCTGATTTTGGAAATTTAAATAGGTCTGTAATGTGAAATGTGACTTGTGTGCAAAATTTGAAGTCAATCGGACGTGATTTGATAGGTTTCGGCGTCGTTTGTAGAATTTGAAAATTTTAAAATTTATTAGGCTTGAATCCGTGTGTACTTCGTATTTTTGAGATTGTTTGATGTTATTTGAGGCCTCGAGTAGGTACGTGGTGTGTTTTAGGACTTGTTGGTGTATTTGGACTGGGTCTCGAGTGGCTCGGGTGAGTTTCGGATGGTTGACGGATCAAATTCAACTTGAAACATTTCTGGAACTGCTGCCTACTGGTGTGATCGCACCTGCGAAGCTTTTGATCGTAGGTGCGAAGCCCCATGTGCGCGAGATCAGTCGCATAAGCGGCCAAGAGTGGGACTGGGCAGTGCTCGCAGGTGCGAGGAATTTGCTGCATCTGCGAGGCCGCAGGTGCGAAGGTGTTGGCACATATGCGGACTGTGGCTGGCTTGGGGCGAACGCAAGTGCGAAGATGTTTGCGCATCTGCGCATCTGCGAGCCCGCAGATGCGAGAAAAGATCCGCAAATGCGAGGTTTTGGGAGGCTGGATGTTTCCACAGGCGCGCATTTTTGTCCGCAAAAGCGGATGCGTAGGTGCGAGCCTAGGCATCGCAGGTGCGAAAATGCCTGGGCAGTGTTTAAAACGAGGGTTCCGAGAATTTTTCTCATTTTCAAAATTTGGAGCACGGTTTGGGCGATTTTGTAGAGGAAATTTTTCACACAACTTGGGGTAAGTGTTCTTAACTCCCTTGTGATTATATTCCATGAATAAATCTTAATTTATGGTGTAAGATTATTGAATCTTCAAGAGAAATAGAAGGAAATTTCTCTAATGTCACAAAACGAATTTTTCAAGTTTGAATACCGATTCGTAGTTGGATTTGAGTGAAATTAGTATGGTTGAACTTGTAATTGGATGGATTGTCGTATTTTGTGAGTTTCGTCGGATTTCGAGACGTGGGCCCCACATGTGATTTTTGGGGCGTAATTTCGGATTTTGTGGAAAATATTAGCATTTTGATATGGAGTTAATTCCTATGAATTGTGTGGACTGAATCAAATTAATTGTGGTAGATTCGAGCTGTTCGGGAGTTGATACGCGCATTGTGGGATTTCTGGAGCATTGTTTATCTTGCTCGACATTGGATTCGGCTTGTTCGAGGTAAGTAACTCTTCTAATCTTGGAGTTGAGGGTATGAACCCTGAATATATGTATTTTGTGAATTTTGGGAGGTGACGCACATGATAGGTGACGGGCGTGTGCGCGTGCACTATAGAAATTGTGACATAATTGTTTCTGTGAAATTTTATAGTTAAATAATATTGGCATTTTCCATGCGATTTTATGTGTTAAAGAAATTGAGCTCAAAAGTATATTAAAAATCATGTTGAGGCTATGTTCCAGTATTATTGGGACCCTCAGAGGTCATATTGCTGTGAATTATTGTGTTAAATTGAAAATTCATACTCATTCATATTCATTTCATTGCATATCATAACTAAGTTTTATGACTCTATTTTGATGCATATAAATATTTTGGGCCGAATGCCCTGTTTTACTGAAATGCCCGAGTGGCTTGAGAGGTTTATGACTGAGTGAGGTCGAGGGCCTGATTTATGTTACATATTTATGGGATCAGGTTGCACGCCGCAACATGTTACATATTTATGGGATCGGGCTGCATGCCGCAACATGTTTGATATCGGCCGAGGGCCTGATTGTGAGGATGTGTGTGGATTAGTGTTGCCCGCTTACACCATACTTTATTATTATAGCACGTGAGTTGTCCGTGTATCACGTGAGTTGTCCTTGCAGATTATAGCGTTTGGGCTGAAGGAGCCCCTCCGGAGTCTGTACACACCCCAGTGAGCGCAGGTACCTACTGAGTGCGAGTGCCGAGTGCTGAGTGACTGGGAGGCATGAGTGATTGTGAGGTATGCCCGAGTGGCAAGATTGATTGTGAGGTATGCCCGAGTGGCAAGAGTGATTATGAGGTATGCCCGAGTGGCACGAGTGACTGTGAGGTTTGTCCGAGGGGCTGTATATGAACGAGGTTTAAGATGTGTATTCTGTGTTTTGGTGATGGGCCAGTCTAGAGGACTTGAGGCCAGGTTTAGACTGCAACTTAGGCTTGGCAGCTTCAGTTGTAACTTGTACATTTGGACTCATGTGTCCGGTAATATCCCTATGGGGGGAAGTTGTGGCTCGATGAGCGGCAGAATGGCTTTGTGATGAGTATGATGTAAATGCGGGATGTGTTAAGACGATTTGAATATGATGAGTAGTGTTTCCTTTAAATGTAAAGGTAAGGCCATTGGGTGCTTGATTTTCGAATTGATGTAGCGTATAATCTCCAGTATGAATGTTTTGAAGGCTCTTTCACATTGTTAAATTTTGGGGTAAAATTAAATTCTCACGTCTGGTTAATGAGTTTGGACTCAGATAGAATAAGTGATTGCATAGTAATTGTGAATGCGAAAGGGTATAACAAGATACCAGATTGAGGCTAAGCAGGTGGATTATCCCCTGCGGAGTAATCTACGTAGGTGTATTCCTTATGATGTGAGTAGAGAGTTTCTTTTCTGCCGACGGGGTGTATGGGTGGAGATTTGAATTTGAATCTGGCTGATAAAGTTGACTTGAGTGTTAAGAAAATAAATGCGAGCTTAGTAGATGATTGAAGTATTTTATGGTTGGCGTTGTATGAGCTTGAGAAAGATTTTTCGTTGAACCGACTGCGGTATTATGACAGTAATAGAGTATGGATATTGCGAGTTATCTAGTGTTTAAATTTATGGCTTTGAGCCAAGTGGGGGAGTCTGCTATTGACAATTTGATTTCATGTTTAGGTGTTAAATTTTAATTTTGGTCTGAGGCATACTTGTGGGTTAGCTATGACTTGCAGAAGTTGAGATCGAGGATGACTCAAATAAGAAAATTCATGGTTAAGGATTATATTGCACGCATGAGTATATGAAATTCGTGGGATGAGTGAGTTGTTATTGGTGAATGACGTAGTGCGCACGGAGTATGAATTTGATTGGGGATATTAGAGTAGAGTTACTTCTTTGAGTTTTGTTGTACTAATGGGGCACGTATCTTTTGACCCATTTGGGCGGTGCAATTAGATGTGAGCAAAGTGGGTGACTCCTGAAAAAATTCCAGTGGGTTTGAGAATTATATATAGCAATTGAGAATGTTTTCGGACTTGTGTATGGATTCTATATTTTTGTGTAAGGAAGGTAAGAAGAACAATTTCAAATTCACATAAGGTATTCTTAAAGTGAGTGTCACAGTTGTGGTATTTTTGAAGAGGCTTAAGAAGAATACAGTTGCTTATGGGCCGTAGGGCGTTGTGGTTCTATGCTAGGTTTGTGGGGGTGAGTTGTGGTTAAAGATCGTGATATTTTAGTAAGGAGAAGTATCAATTTCAAGACAAATTCGGAAGGGACTTGGAGAAATAGGACAACTTGGTAGTAGATTGGATCAGTATGGTAATGGATATGATCGGTTCTTTGAGTGCTTATGATGTATTTTTTTTTTTACAGGTGCTTTGTGCCAATACACCTGGGCTTTGGCGACCTGCATGGCTTGGTTGATTTAGAGAGATTCAACTCTGATGACCTGATTATGTGCAAATGGATTTCAAAGCATTCTCGAGGTTTTCTACCACGGTTTGAGACGGGTATTTTCCTACCGACTTGAGTAGCATGTTGAGTATTGTGACTCAGAATGATTATGAGGTTCTCGTATTTTTTTTCTTCAAATGATGGCATGATAGATGCGGTGAGTTGTGTGGGATTAAGGTTGGCGTGTGCAAGGTCACGGTTTAGCCTTGAAAGGGAGGTCATAAATTCTTAGAGGCATGAACAGTTTTCGATGTCTAGATGAATACTATTACTACTTGGTGTCGTATGAGAAAGGGGCCGACTTCAGAAGACGCATTGTATTTTTGACTTACGGATGTATAAATTAGTATTGCGGTACTCACATGGTTGATAGACTGCTGATATTCAAATTTTGTCAAGTGGCACGGAAGAATTTATAAAGTATTTCTCGTGGGATGATCGTGTATGAGAGAGGCGTTAGATATTCGGGCGGTGGAGATGGTATCAAATATGGTGATTCGCGTGTTCTATGGATTTGGAGATTGAGAGTTCTCAGGAGCGGATTATTTCATGGTTGTAGACTGTGAAGTTGTGGCCGAGCTAGCTAGATGATAGAATGTGTTATGATTCAGTCATTACGAATTTTTGAAAGAATTTTTATCTATTTATGAGTAACCCGAGTTGATTTGGCGGTCCATTGGTATGCCCAATTAAGATGTGTATTCTACACCGAATTGGAATAGTTGGCTCCATACTGCTATTGTTGAGGGATGTGTCATTCGGTTGATATTG